TTGACTTGTATTGACGGTGATGTTACAGAGTAGATTAACACCTGTAACAATATATCTATATTCAAATAAAATACACCTGTAAATATATATATATGTATTTAAATAAAATACACCTGTAACAATATATCTATATTCAAATTAAATACACCTGTGACAATCTGTCTATATTCACCTGTAACAATATATCTATATTCAAATAAAATACACCTGTGACAATCTGTCTATATTCACCTGTAACAATATATCTATATTCAAATAAAATACACCTGTGACAATCTGTCTATATTCCAATATAATACACCTGTAACAATCTGTCTAGATTTCAACAAAATACACCTTCAACAGGATATCACCCCAATATGTGTGTATATTTGAATAGAATACACCTGTAACAGGATGCTACAACAATATATTTATGTTACAACAAAATACACGTGTAATGAAATACCACAATATATATATTTTAATATAACACTTGTAGCACAAAATCATCACTATATATATAACTACATAAACAGGAAACTAAACATATATATATATATATATTAATATAACACTTGTAGCACAAAATCATCACTATGTATATAACTAGATAAACAGGGAACTAAACATATATATATATATTTTAATGTAACACTTGTACCACAAAATCATCACTATATATATAACTAAGTAACCCAACCAACATTTTCGACAAATATTTTGTTAACCATTTTTAGAGAATGATCTTCCTAGGTTTTACAAACACCGCCTGTGTTAGAGGGTTTATTTGCATCACTTCCGGAATATTATTAATTAACAACTCCAACACTGTAGCACAGCCTGTGTTAGAGGGTTTATTTGCATCACTTCCGGAATATTATTAATTAACAGCTCCAATACTGTAGCACAGCCTGGGTTAAAGGGTTTATTTGCATCACTTCCGGAATATTATTAATTAACAACTCCAACACTGTAGCACAGCCTGGGTTAGAGGGTTTATTTGCATCACTTCCGGATTACCCTGCGGACGCTGAATGAGGTGTCGTGTTGACCCTGATCACAGATAAAGTCTTGTAACTGTCTCGGGTCAGTGGTCACGATGGTTACTGATTGTACGCCTGGCCGCGCGTAACCCTTATTATGGTTCATTTCTTCCAAACACCTGTCCGTACATAAGAACCACGTGATGTTCAACAGATGAGACTCTACCACTACTTACTTTACAAGAAAAACCTTCCATTTGTCTAGACCTTTCTTACCCTTACTGAGAAATATCAAACTAACAGAAAACGTAAAGAATATCTCACGTGCTTACATCTGAGGAGGAGGTTCAGAATTTTTAACTTTTCGTAACTAACCCCCTCCCCCTCCCCCCCACCACCCCAACCCCTTCTATCTATAAATAAGTTACCGACCAACATAAATTCACAAGATGTCTCGGAGTTCGTTATGGTCATTATATTTACAACCTATTTACTGATCTCAAATGACACCATTTCGACAATGTCTATAAGCTCGTCAAACTGGCGTCGTTTCTTCATAAACTATTTAACAGACACGTAGAACAGATTGTTCATAATAACATAGGCTGTCAATAAAAGTCAACATAGACTCCTATAAACCGTCAACAAAAGTCAACGTTAATACAGACTCTTATAAACCAACAAGCTGATATTATGTAACAAATATAGACAGATTTTTGTGTCATCATGTTACTTATATATTCTATTAAAATAAATACTGATGTTATGTCTGTATTTGTTTTTATCCTCAGGGTGGAATGTGTTCTATGTCGGACACCATGGAAAACCTGAAGATAGCGGGAAGTAGCCCTCTACCGTCAAGATCGAGAATTAAGTATCTCAAAAGGTAATTCGTGGTCTCGTAGATTCT